CATAAAAACCCCCGATCTGCCGAAAGGATAATTTATATGAATTTTATGTAAGGGGTAAATAAAAGTAATTTTAAAACTCATCCAGCCAGAGAGGAATTAATTAATTACTCAAACGCCCGAGCTGAGCTGGTTCCAAGGAGGGAAAATAAATATTTTTTTGTTTTGCTCTAATGGAAAGTGGCGGATTTTGGGAAGAGCGAAAGAATAAATAACACTGTTTGTCGGGCAAAGGAATGGTAGATATTTCCGGATCAAAACAGCTGGAGGAAAGTTCATTCAGAAATCAGCTAAAGCCACAAGACAAGCTTAAGACCAAAAACGCACAGGAGGACAAAACAGATAACAGCCAAAGTAGTTAAACTTTTTCCAGCTAGCAAATATTTATACGGCTTTGCGGAGGGAAGTTTACTTTCGGTTTAAGCGCATTAAGAGCACAAAAATTGTATGGAAGATTCAGAAACGATGTGCAAATAAACTGCTCAACCAAATAAAAGCTTCACCGTTAAACTTTGGAACTGAATAGTTTCTAAAAACTGCTTCGAGCGATTTTGTTGCCGTTTAGTCTTGTTTAGCTGAATTCTTTCCTGAAAATCTGGCTTTTTCTGCATTTTTTCATGCAATGATGGCTATTTACTACGCTGCCAAAGCCTCAGAACTCTGGGCGATTGTTACGAAACTCAATGTTTTTAGAGTCAAGTTTATGCCAAAGAAGGCAAAAATTTCAAGTTGTTACTGACTAGCTTGGAAGATCCAACATTTTCTGTTGGTTAAACTTAATTATTAAAAACAGGTAATGAAAATTGATAAAAATGTGCGATATAAACGAGGAATTATTCGTAAAAAATTTGAAATTTTTGGGCATTTAATTAAACGTATTCTTGAAGGTCCATGCTTTTGTACTCGGCGATGAAAATGCCCGGCTAAACTGGCCAAGAAAGGGCGTTTGCTCGAAGCCTTTTTTTTCGGTCTTAATTCGACAATAACCAGACTTTACAGCACTGTTGAGATCCGGTGATGAAACCGCCAACAAAATGAGCCCATAAAGTTACCAAGCATTGCGGGGTGATCTGCATTTTTTGCCCATGAAAAAAAAATACGTTCTACCAAATGTTTCAATTTTCAGTATGGGCAAACGTTGGGGCCCTACTTAAGTTCCTACGTGTTGATGGCTACAGCGATCGATAGACACCAAGCGATCTGTTATCCGCTCACTTATTGCTCCTGGACATCGAGAAGATCGAAATTCATGATGTATGTGGCGTGGATTGCTAGTCTGCTATGTTGCATTCCGCAGGTAAAAAAACTATTTTTATGTATTAATTTTCGAGAAAATTGTGTAATTTTTGCTTCCGGACTTGGGTTTTACGCAAGTCCTCCTTCGAAAATTTATTCTGGCCCAACCGGTCGAGCGAAAGTTTAAGTTGTTGATGAGTTTTGTGCACAAGAATCTGCTTAATAGTTTGAGAGAGTTTCAATTTTGCGCCATTTCCCGGAGGTTTTTTGCAAATTTTATAACCTTTTTACTGATCCAAAAATGAATTCCTGCAGAACCGGAGGAAGCCAAATTTGGCTGGTCTGTGTTGTATGCAGGACCAGGCCTGTTAGTCCAAAGGAGTTTGATTTTTGCCCGATTATTGCTAGTTTTGCAAATTTTTCAAAAAACTCAAAAATGAATTCCTGCCGATCCGGGACAGAAAAATTGTTAGTTGCAGTGTTTTATGTAGCAAGTCTTCTTTATAATGCGCAAGAGTTTGCTTGCCTTTGCGTCTACTTTTCTTGCCGCATTTCTGCGTTACAGTTCAAGAAAGATTTAAATTTACGCCATTATCAAGACTTTTTCCTAATTTTTCAAATTTGGCCGTTTTTCTGCCGCGTTTTACGCAATTTCTCGCTGAAAAATGAGTTTCTGTCGAACCAGAAGATAATTTTTTATTGTGGCTGTGTTGCATCGAGGAAAGTTCGCGCTATTGGCCAAGAAAGTTTCCAATTTGCGCCAATAACATGATTTTTCCTCATAGTCAATCAGTAGAACTACCATCAGGAGCAAAAAATGTTTAAAAAGCACCAAAACTGTTACGGAAATCGGTTGCTCGATTAATAATTTTTATATTTAAAATTCTAATAAATACTTTTGGGCAAAGGCATAAGCGCAAAATGAATTAAGGAACAAGTCGTCAAACAACTCATCGAACAAATACATCGAAATTAGAAGAGAATATTTCTGGAGAAAGTCGAAAAATCAGCATAAATGATTGCAAATGTTCACGTCCAAACTGCTGCTGCAGAAGAGATGAATTAATATTTTTCAGGTCATCATATTCTCCTTCCAAGAAGTAGAACCGAAGGTTTACGACTGTTGGGCGACTTTCGACCACGAATGGGGCGAACAGGCTTATGTTGTCTGGTAAGTCGTCTATTAATCCAACCACTTTAGAAATTTGCCAGTTAAACAAGAACGCTTTGCTCATCACCAACCAGAATTGTTCCAACATTAAAAGTCTGAAGTTGTATGGCAAACCACGTTCAGTATCGAAACTAATGGGTTTTTCGGGTTTTTAGGCCGTCGTTCGGAAGAATTTCTTCCTGACGTTTCGCAAGCACGAGTGGCTTGCATCTTCAGAAGTGGTTTGCTTGAACGCTTACACTGTTCTCATCAGAACCCGTTCAGTTCTTCCGCAGAACTGAACGCGGGTTCTGATGA